GTGTGAATTTTTTTTTTTAATTTATAATGCGCCTCCTTCTCTTATATTAGTTAAGGATAAATTTATAAAAGTGTTTGATTAGTTAGAAAGTGTAAATTAATGGTTGTAAAAAGCAGCAAAATTTGCGCCATTACAATGGAAAATTTTTATGTCGCTGTAACTAAACGCTACCGAAACAAAGCGGTACGTTACTATTGCATTGCTAAAAAAAAAGTAGTGCGCCACTTCCAACCACTGCATACACTCACACACGATACACATATATATAATATACAAAATAATAATATGTAAGCAGTTCTTTTCAAACGCTTCGTTCCACGACCGGCTGTACTATACACCATACTAGTATACTATATAGTGTAAATCGTGTCCGAGTACACTTTCTATACCTACGAATACGTTTGTGCCGCAGTAACGGCCTAAAAATAATGTTCCTCGACCGGCGGCGCAGCGCGGTAGGTAAGCCCGGTAAGCCCGCAAACGCGATGACTATATTTATAGTATTATTAAAACTTATACATAGCCTAATTGGGGAGGTTTGTTGACAACAATTTAATGTATTCGACAAGCAGCGGTGGCACGTGACGGCGATATCGCAATGGGCACACAAATACGATAAAGTGTTTAGCACGTTTTCGATATTATACGATGACAGTCGACAGATAAACCAAGTCTCCCACGAGTCGGAGCGCACTGCGGCGGCGGCGCCAGAGACTTTGACGGGATGGACCGTAAACGACCGACGTAACGGTAAACGGCAAACGAACAACATAATAGATTAAAAAAGTAAATTATCCAGTATAATATTATCTCCAGACTTAATCTTTTCTGTAAACAAACACACGTGTGTTGAGTACCTACCTACATTTTTTTATGTGCATCGGCCCTTGGTCGAATCTGCGCAGACCTCCTCAGTCCTCCGCGAGTCCTATAATCGCACTCGGGCGGGTACCCCCTTTGCACGGATCACGTCTTTTACGACGTTCTTAAACTTATAATAATATTATATTTTGTATATTATTATGATGGTGGTGTCCGAATCACCAATGGGACGTTTACATACCTCCAAAACGGGATCTCGTCGGCCCCTCGTCCGCGTTATTTGATTTCTCGCACTCGACCACCTGCGAAACGGTGCGAATTACCGAATCCTGAAGATCGCGCGGCCCGGGAGACCGCGGCGGCGTGTCATTATAACAGGTACGACAACGACAATATTCACCATCGACCGAGACCGGCGCACGATCGCGAACTGTGAAGTCGCCGACAATCGATGATAGCAGTAATAATAATAATATTATTATTATTGTTTCGTCATTATCGGCGGGCGGGCGAGCGCGCGTAGCGAACGGTTATACCTACACACAACACACTTCGATCACAACTGTCACCGACTCGAACGGGAGCGAGAGATAAGCAGCGAGATGAAAAGAAAAACAAAAACAAACTCCCGATTTTTCCGGTAAATAACTACAGTCTACAACGTCGTGTATTATAATAATATAAAAGCTAACGATAGTCACTGTATTAATATTATTCAAATACGTTTGTATTATTATGTCTAAATAAAATATCAATGGATTTAATATTATTATTATTCGGAAACGGCGGCACCCGATAACGCGAGAGAGCCTGTAGAGTAGACGCGCGACGATACGCGCCACCAATAACAGCGCACGGGAACGAACTGCCCGAGTGGCGGCTCCGGTGGCGGCCACGAATTACGATTTACGACACAAGACCACGAGCTCACGCACGCACATGCACCTGTTGATCATCTTGAATCGGTTGCATTCTTAACACTCCGCCGCAGCCGCCGCATTCCGATCGGCGGCGCGGCGGCGGCCGTGGCGGCGGTGGTGGTGGCGGTCGTTATCAGTCTACGCCGCCGCCGCCATGTCCCCACCCGCCGACGGCGACGAATGCCGGGCCACGGAGTATACAAAACGGTCGCGACACGGGTTTCTCGATCGCGTCGCGTAACGCCAGCGCTACCGACCGCTGTGACGCGGTCAGTGTTCGTTATATTATTATTATTATATATTTGCGAACAGAATCTCCGATAAACCGGCAAACGAGAATACGCGCGTCATGCTTGTACATATCTACCGACCGCATGGCTGGTCATTTTATAATATTATGGTTATCTTAACATAGGCGAAAATCGTGGGGTGGCTAAGGGGACTTAGCCCCCACCCCACAGAAATTTTAATGGATTTGCGCGTATGGTCATCTACCGTAATCGCTAACAACCGGTCATCCCAGTTCGCGAAGAAAATATTAAATAGGAAAATATTATATACAATACATATAATATTTTCTTCGCGAACTGGGATGACCAGTTGATAATCGTCCGGGAGGACTTGAATGCACGACGATTTTGTTTTCGTTGTTTTTTATCCCGTCGATCAGTGATCAATCATATTTATATTTGATGGGAAATCTGAACAAATTTATGTATACAAATATAATATATATTAATTATACCGTTGTTATGCAGGTACAGACGTACAGTTGGTGGGGAAGTAGCACTATATATATTGTAAGGAAAAAAAAATTCTACGGATGACTTAAGGTTAAATATAGTTGATAAATATTAAGTCATCTAATATATCTGAGTTTTTATAAATGAAAATTGATACATTTCAATAATTGCATTGGATTTGTCAATACTCAAAAGGATTAAGATTTAAGATGATATATTAATGTATTATTTATGTCAAAATAAATAGGTTCTACAATATTTTTGTACATTAGTCATATGCTTATAAATATTTATACATACTTTTAGTGAAATGAATAATATATATATAGGTAGGTACTCACCATTATCCATGATTGATTTTGTTTAGCTTTAATTGTATTGCTCTCGACACTGGTGGAAACGGTAAATGTCAGGTTAGTTGTTAAATGTAGTTGCTACTTATTACTTACTAGTTATAAGAAACTTATTTTCAAATTTTCACAAGGTTCAAGTGTACAACCGTTAATATTAGGAAACACAATATAACTAGTAACTACGGTTAAATACTAAAATACCACTGTAGGTGGGTACCAGCTAACTTGAATACCTAGACTCAAGGCGGGTTTCCACTATACACGTTTGCCATGTACACGAAAAATGTTCAGCTATATCCAACAACACGGTACCATGGTTAACCGCGTGTGGTAACTGAACGTACACAACCAATCACAGCAAATGATTTGTATGCACGTACTCGCATCCGTGTGTAGTGGAAACCCGCCTTTATGACTTATGAGTTTAGGTCTTTGCGTTTTGGTCACTTGAACATAGATAATATTATATACATGGTTAGGTAGGATCTGTGCCTGAAGACGTGAATAGATGTTACCTCGTTGGTTATATTCGGTTATATAGCTTGTGGTAAAAGATTACGTCAAAAAAAAATTGTATCATCGAACCATGATTATCTGTATATTGTCTTTGTTGATAACATGGTTTAACCATAAACCACTACTATAACCACAAGTAACCATAGTTGTAATATGTATTATTTTCGGTTAGCTGTATGCCGTGGTCTAAGCGGCCGATGTCCTATCCATCTATGATGTATAAATTATCCATGGGTTGACAGGGTTTGAGCCGCCGTCTATCTTCGGTAAAGTAAATATTCCATACGAATATGATATAAAATGTATAATTGTTCGTATTTTCTAATAATAAAATTGCATTTAATATATAATTATTTAAAATATGTGTAAAAAGAAAATAATAAGAACAAATATTAAAAGTTGAGCTTCCAGCCCCGTTCAAGAACCACCAGATTGCGAATTGTTATATTATTAGGTACAAACTATAATAGTTAGGTAATGTATACAATTACGTCACATGATAATAATTCTAGTTGAGATGCGAGATGGTAGACATTTGCTTTTTAGTATTTTCTATTTGGTTTAAGTTGAGCATACATTCATTTATGTACATTTGTGGTTTATGCATATTCATAAGTGCACAACGCTGTAATAAAAATGGTTGTGAAATGTTTTATTTTTTTACTTTTATGGGTATCTATACTATTTAACAGCTCTTTATACAGATAAATATATTTTAGGGGCTTATGGCCTATATAATAGCCCATAGGTGCCACTTAAAATGTTTTTATATTAACGTTATCCGGAAATATTAGAAAATGAGAATTTATGTTTATTTTTATCGTTTATTTAATATCTAACGATTTTTAATTTAAAATGTTTTATAATTCCACGAGGAAAGTGAAAGTATAATGTATTATTGATATTTTTAATTTTAAATGTGAGATACATTTCAATTTAGTTCTAACTTCGTAGTTGGTATAGTTATTGAGTAAAATAATAAATTATCTTTTTTTTTTAGATATAAACGTATAAGTTCTCTAAAAAGGTTCATTCATGGAAAAACCAATTACTTAATGTTCGAGTAAAGTGCATTATTATTAATATTTATTTTTTAAACAAAATCTACCAAATGCTCAAATAATTCCTTTAACAAAACATACCTATATACAACGTAGATAGCTATATTATAATATATTATATAAAATAATTAATTACATTTTAGTTACAGTCTGTTAGAAAATGTGCAATTAGTTGTATTGTAAATATTATAAATTTATTATGTTGTAATAATAGTAGTATTTTGTATCTACTATACATTTTTCATTTCTACCATATCAAAATAATATAACAGTGGTTTAATTGTATAATAAATTGTAATTTATTATTAAAATATTATTGAACGAGATTGTTATAATTTTATATAAATAACAAATAATTAATGTCTATAGGTACTCACTAAAATAAACAGCCAGATATTTTTATTTAATTTGAAAACGTTTCGTTACCTGCACTATTTAATGAAGGTATATAAACTATTATTCTTCTTCTTATCGTGTCCGGTGCTGGGACTATATGCTATTACATTAATAAATAAATGCCTAGGTACATAAAGTAATATAAACATCAGTAGGTTAAAATATGAATATAAAATATAAAATAAATGTTTAAATATTTTGTTTTAGCCAGTGAATGGCCATTGCTATTGCTTTTTCGTTGACTAAAGCCAAGTCGTCGGTCGTGCATCTTGGCGGGGTTAGTGTGTACTGTAATAAGTGGTCATCTGATTGGTCTTCCCCACATTCGCATAGTATGTCCGGTTCTTTCTGGTATCTCTCCATGCATGTGGCCACATATCTTCGTATTCTTGGTGGAGCTATCCCTGATAATGGATATATATATTTAAGTGGCGTTGGCTTAAGGCATCCGGTTATTACCCTACAGGTCTCATTAAGGGCCGTGTCAACATGTTTAGTATGTTTACTGTTTAGATTGGTTCCATACTGGGCTAGCATTAGCTTTTGCTAGCATCTAAACTATTATTAAATAAGAATATTATTATGTTGGTACAAAGATCGAAACACATTTTTGGAACTATTAAATCTTTCCCTTTTAAATCATTAAAAGTTAATTAGGACTTTCATTCAAACTCGAACATTTTTAAAGTCGTCTTAAATGAACATATTGGGTGAAATTAAATACATAGACGTAGTAGAATATAATATTATAGAAATCATAAGACCTTAAACATAAAGTTTTCAAATTGACTTGTAGAAAACTCACGAAGAAACTATATTCAATGTCAATAAGTAATAACTAATAATTATATACGTATAACTAATTTTTAAATCCGTTGTAAAGTTACATTCCGGAGGTTAATAAATAACATATTATATCAATTATTTTATTGTGTATACATAACATATTAACTGGCTCAATGATACGTAAAATACTAAAATGGATACATCGAGATTATATTTTGACTGTTTCGATGATATTTTATTATAGGTAGGTACTATAAAAGCGTTAATCTACCGTCGTTCTATTTCAATAGGTATATGTAGTCATTATCATGATGTTGTAATAAAGCTATTCTTCAGAAAATATTAAGGAATCCAATATTACAAAAATATTTAAGCACAAAGAATAAACCACAGGTCAGGACAATGCGGTGTACCTACATAATATTATACCTGTATAAAAAAATTGTTTAATAATGCTGTGTGGTTGTTAATATATTTTATATGTCTAAACCTCTATACACTTCAAATCTATTATAGTCATTTACTTTTTTATCAGTTATTTTTTAAATTATATTTTAATAGATTTTAACGATCGTTTTTGATCAATAGTTTCTACTTTATGATATGCTATACCTATGCTACAAAGTTAAATAAAAAACCTATAAGTCATTATATTAATTCTAAAATTATATAACCTATACCTACCTACAAATTACAAAATTTGACAATTATTTTTGATGAATTTCTTTGCATGAAAGATTACATTTTGCGAATAAATATTATTTAACTAATATATTAAAAACAGTTCTTTACAACGTTTATATTACTTACACACTTATTGTTAATAACTGTATATAGGTACCTAATCGTCCTAATCGATATAAAAATGATTGATTATGTACAAATCACAAAAATTGATCATATACATAATATGCATATAGATAGGTATATAACGTGTACGTTGAATATATTGATTATAATTTATAACTTACATTAAATTCACTGTTATACAGATAATATAATTTGTTATTATTATGCGACTTTCACTTAATTGTTATAAAAATGAATATTTTTAGTAGATATCATTTTTTTTTTAATCTAGAAACAAAACAAAAGAAAAATTAAATTATTCTCAAAATTTTATATATAGGTACCTATAGGTATTATGATTACAATTTATTTATTTATTTTTTTTTTTATTAATTTTATCCCGCGGCAACTTAGGCCATTGGGAGAGGGGTGGGTACTGTAGGTTTTTAACGGTAGGGGGGTGTTACACGTGGGTGTATTTTGGCAGAATTTTGAATGGGGCACCCGTAGGTTTCTGCCATGCCCCGGAGTGGGGGATGGCGGCAATTGTTTTCCGGACACCGTGACTTGCCCGGAGAAAAATGCCGCCCAGTGGTCGGGAGTCGAACCCGCGACTGCCAGCGCCGCAGACGACGCGTTAGACCGCTCGGCCACCTCGTCCCCCAATTACAATTTATTATTGAAAGATGAAGGCCAATATTAGAGTTAAGAAAACTATTTCGAAACATGTCTAAATCTGTAGGTTAATTACATTACTAAAATATATTATAATATGTTTTTATACTTGCAGGTTGCCCATATACCTACGAAGACAGTTTAATTTGTTATCCATTAAAGAAAAATGGATGGCATCGCTGCCCGTGTATTCTATAAAGGTAAGGCGTTTTGAAATGAATATTAATCTTCAGTTATATAAGAATTATCGATGTATATTGTATTTTTTATTCCAACACATGAACTCAATATATTTAAATAACAATATAATAGTACAATACAAGTAGACTTCTATAAATTCTATTGGGTATGAATTTATTGGCTGTATAGAACACTTTTTGGTCGAATCATTTTTAAAGCAAGCAAACAATTATTATTTTTAAATATTCATTAACGATAAAGTTCCTGTCAATAATATTTTGTTTTTGTTATTTACTATTCTTATAACACGGAAAACTAAAAAGTATAAAAACTACAGTTGTTTACATTTGTAAAATATAACAGTCGGTTATACTTTTTATAGTCTAATTGTGAGCAATTGATAAAATAAATAAGAAGAAGTTTTTCAAATGGACTTAATATTTAAATTATAGTCGAATAAAAATAAAATTAAATATTTTAAACATTTTATAAATTATAATATAAATATACGTCGGAAAATGATTGTAATAGTGAGAGGCGGTAATATTTTATTCATTTTTATTTAACAACATAATAACTGTGCAAAAGTAAGAAAATTAAAACACTATTGTTTAATGAAATAATATAACAATTAAAATAAACGTTCTGTACTTAATGTATATTTAAAATATTATTAATCATCCAAAATATTATGTCTACACTATAATATTTTAATCATAATGGAGAAAAAAATATAAACGTATTTATCCTAATTGTATATAGTTAATTGTGGTTAATTAGTAATAACTGATGTTGAAAAAATCTAAAATGGGTATGCACTTTAATAGTTTAATGCCATTTTATTTTTGTTTATGCTAATTGCATTTTTAATAGTATTATACGCCTATTACAATTTTCTTTATAAAAACTGTTAAAATGTTAAATGTTACATCCCACTAATGTGAACGGTCGAAACTCGTTAGGGTATGCTTATAATATTATAGAAGCTGTAAATTACAATTTATTATCTTCTAAATAATATGTACAATAAAAATTAGACATAGCAATATTATTAATGCAGTGGCAGTCTGTGCCATTTGGAGATATCACCTACTATACATACACTATTATATATTTCTACAAAGCACAAATAAATATTCATTTGTTTTTCAGAGCACAACTTTATCAAAGACTAAGATTTATAGTTTATATTCACACATAGTCTATATTGCTTATGGTTAATAATTTACAACTTTCGTCGTCCTGGTTTTCATTATAATATTTGTTTTATTAGCTTATGCATTCATATAGTACATGTATAAAAGGTCAAACATAACCATTAATCTCGTATGAACACATCACGTAGTGTTATAAATGTATATTGTATAATATTGTATCTAAATTCCAGAGACAGGATCCTTATAACGATTTAACGACTGGAACCTTAATTATTTCACGGGTTTCGATTCGTAAAGATAAGAAAATGAGGTTTCAGTCTTAGCAGCTCTTTAAAATGTAAAATTAAAATTTCGATTCAAACCAGTGAACAACGAGCCATAACGGTATTTCCAGGTTAAATTTCTGAACTCATAGAAATTATTAAATAGTGTAAATTTAAAATGTATAGGTAAAGTAAACCTTTATCGTTTTCTAAAATCAATAATTAATTTATATTTAAACAAATTTATTTTGTAAGTAAAAATATAAATATGTCAGATCACTCAGATCTTCGTGATACACTCGATCACAGTCATCGGCAGTGTCTCCGTGCACACATCGATTTTGGTTTGTGAGCTCATTAAAGTCAAACATATTTTGCAAGTACGTGGTACGTGCGTAGTACGTTTATATGTTTCTATTAGTTATTTAGATTTAAATCGTGAAAATTGTAATCTAAAATGAATTTCATATCTAATGAAGATCAGTAATTTAAGTACAAATTTAGTATTTATTTATTAATTATTTAAATACCTTATAAAAATCCGTAAAACCTTTACTTTCAAATATCGAGATTTCGATTTCAGTTTCGATTGCTAAAAAATTAAGTATGGGCTTCTGATTATTAAATGGTTCCAGTTTTGACATTGGTACCGGTTTGGTTCCGCAATTATGTAGTTAAATTCAAGTTTTATACAAAATGAAAATTTTATAGATTAAAGAACGTAATTTTAAATTATAATATTTTTACAAAACTATCCTTTATTTATGAAAATAAAGTACTTATAATAATATTATAAGTAACTTAAAATGACTTAAAAAGTATTCTCGCTGAATTTCAATAATTTGTTTTATTTACACTCCATAATAACTTTGTAGTTACTCCTTGAAATTCAAACTTAGTGTGTAATAGTTATTTTGTATATGAACCGTAAGAATACAAAGTAATATTATATCAAACAATTTAGTGTTATTTTGGTTTTAATGAAAAATTCGGGTTCGTTGATACTTGGTTAGTTTATTTTATATTAATATTTATTTATACAGTATTCTGTATTTCTAATGATAGATGCATTTTATGTAGCTTTGAGGCATATCAATTTTCAAGTGTGTAAACATGTTTAATCTCCTACTATTTCCACTTAACAAAACGTGAATTGTGTAAATATCCTGGTAAAATATAATAAAACTACAGAATAGGTCTACCGTATATATAGTACCAATGTCAGCATAGCATTCTTTATTTCTTTCAATGTACGCAGGTGTTTAATTTTTATTGCATTTCTATAATTTGTTCAGAAAGCCGACTTTTATTCTATATATAAAAGGTGATTCTTATTTTATTTTTATCAGACAATTTTCTTAATACAATTAAAAATAAGGCGTAAATGTATAAACTGCCCACTAATTAAAAGTTTTCGAAATTTTGTTGACCATAAGTATAACGAATTCAATTTATCGATTTTTTATTTAATTTCTTAGTCATAAAAATTTTTAAATTTTTAAATTAATCTCAAAAATCTCTTAACAATTTATTTAATTTTGGAATTGTACTAAGAAGATATAATTCAAAAGTATAAATAGTATAGTATCTATTGGAATTCAATTATACCACACATAAATATTATAATACCTATTTGGTATATGGATGCAGTTAATCATTTTTTCTGTGTCAGAAATTCGAATATCAG